TTTTTTTTTTTTTTTTTTTCACTTCTAACTAAAACCCAAGTATCTTAAATGATTTGTCTCTCTTTACTTGTATTTAGTATTTACTTCCCGCATATATCTACATATGTTTGCAGGCATGCATGAGCTCCTGGCTCCCTTGCTGTACGTCCTCCATGTGGACGCCGAGCGCCTCTCGGAAATCCGCAAAATCCACGAAAACCACTTCCCAGACAAATTCGACTCCTTCGACGAGACCAACTTCTCCTACACAAATGGTACACCAAATGGAAGCCCGGTCAGGACCCGCACGCCCGATGAGCTCGATCCCATCACCCAATTTCTCATCGAGCTGAGCGATGCATACGGTGCTGAGGGCGAACTTGGCATTGTCACGTCCAAAAAGTTCCTCGAACACGATGCTTATGCCATGTTCGACTCCCTCCTCGGCAATGCCCTCTCCATGTCAAACTTCTTTTCCCACTCCCCCTCCGGGCCCCACTCGGGCTCACCCCCTGTGATTGAGGCCTCTGCAGCCCTCTACCACCTGCTCTCAATCGCTGACCCATCTCTCCATGCCCATCTAGTCGAGCTTGGGGTCGAGCCACAGTACTTTTCCATCCGCTGGCTGCGCGTGCTCTTTGGTCGCGAGTTCTCCTTGGAGGACCTTTTGTCCGTGTGGGACGAGATTTTCGCCAGGGAGAATGTAAAATTGGGTGGCGCCATGAACTTTGAGATTCTCGAGTCGGCTAGGGGGGCTTTTGTGTGCGCGTTCGGGGTCTCGATGATACTCCACCTCAGGTCCTCGCTGCTGGCCACCGAGAACGCGACTGCCTGCCTGCAGAGGCTGCTCAACTTCCCAGACGATGTCGGGATCGAGAAGCTTCTGGAGAAAGCGGTGTCACTGCACGAACTGGTACTGAGGTCGAACTATTCGGCCTCAGCGAACAGGGGCCATAGCCACTCCCTGGACTCGACCTCTCCCAGAACACCCCTGAGCATGGTGGCCGATAGCTACTGGGAAGAAAGGTGGAGGGTTCTGCATGAGGACAAAAAGGAGGAAGAATGTCAAAAGGAGAAGGGAGAGGAAGTTCCTTACCGTAAAAAGGGTTGGTCAGAGAGAGTGAGGCTCCGCCTCTCGAGGACAGAGTCCGACCCAACCCCGTCGAAGAAAAACGAGCAGAACAAAATTTCTAGGCCGTCTGTTAGGAGAAGTTTGTTGAAGGATCTTGCGCGGCAGCTCGGTTCGAATGAGGATGAGAATAAGGATGCTATAGGTTGCGATCAGGATAATAACGAGGATCCTGAGGAGTCGATTGAGGTTAGTGGTGTTGAAGATGTAATTGCGGACAAGAATAATTACAATGCATCGATTGAAGAGAACTCTTCCAGTATCTCGGATCCGGTGGGACCAATGACTGGAAGCAGTGACAACGAAAATGAGAGCGGGAGGAGTAGTGTCGGGTCAAACTCATCTTTGGATGAAAATGATTCTGTGTCATGCGTGACCAATTCGGAATGTTCTCCTCCGCTTCCCGTCTCAGACCCGCCAGAAGGATTGTCTTCTCAAGTTATGGAAAATGACGAGTCTTTGGAGAGGGTGGGGACGGGTACTTTAAAGGATAGGAAAGTACTGTCAGGTAAGTTTCAATGGCTGTGGAAGTTTGGGAGGAATGGTGGAGAGGGAACATCCGAGAGAAAAAGTGGCTCTGTGGATGGGAAAGGTTTCAATGGAGAAGGTGATGAGAAGAATGTGGCTGTATTGTTAAATGACGATGGGTGTGAGCGTTCTGGTGGGACGAGCAAGAGTGAGACGGTAGATCAGAATTTGATGGTTAGCTTGAAGAATCTTGGCCAGTCCATGCTTGAGAACATTCAGGTATGATTCTCATCTGAAGCCAACGAGTGGGATATTTTATTTTATTTTAATTTTTTTTTTCTGAATTTATTTTGACAGCCTCGGTATTTTCTGTAAATGCAACTCTCACCTGGGATTTTGCTTTACAATATAGTATTTAAGGAATTTAGATATGATTCGATGTATGGTATAATTACGAAAATTGCACTATGGTCCGTCTAACTGAAGAACAGAAATGGAAAAAGAAGTAAAAGAAAATAATTGTTTTCAAAATTACGAATACTTATTCATATTTTTTTCTATTTGATAAATTAAACGTTCGATAGGCAGGTAGGTGGTGTTCGCTAAGAAAATGTGTAGCTAGGTGGGAGGGTGTGAGTGTCTGTGGTTTGTGAAAGAGTCCTTGTGATTTTGAAAGAAAATAAGAATTATTGTGTTTTATAATTAGGTCAAAACCAGCAGTAAGCGTTCGTAATTATTAGGTTCACATATTCTAGAACTTCGTCATTGCAAATTTCAGATAAATGAACTGAATGTACCACAAAACAGTTAACTGTCTAGGGTTACGCTTTCAAAGCCACCATGTGGCTCGAATACTTTTGTACAGAGTGTCTAGCGTTCGTTTCTTTTTTTCCGATTTTTATGAAAAACTTGAGCATATTAATTATTCTCTGACTGAGTCATGGAAATACCGACTTATCTTTTTGGCTTGTGAAAGCTCTTTCTTTGGTTAGTGCCATTTCATCACATCTCCCAAACAGTAGTTTTCTTATTCTTACATCCTGATATTGAGCTCGATGGCAAAATTTTAAAATTGCCCGTTTTAAACCTTGCAGGTGATAGAGTCTGTGTTCCAGCATGATAATCGGAGTCAAACAGGGTCCTTAGAGAACTTGTCAAAGAACGGTCTTGTCGGCAAAGGACAAGTCACAGCCATGGCCGCACTCAAGGAGCTCCGGAAGATCAGCAACCTTTTATCTGAGATGTGATGTATTTATATTCTTATTCGTTTACTTGTTTCTTATCTCCGAGTATCATAATAAATGGACTCCCTCCCTCCGGCTTTTCTTGTATCTAGTCAAATTTTTGGATATTATATGAAGTCTTGTAAATACAAATTTTCTGTTGAATAAAAATCAGACACCATTCTTCCAAGAGCTGTATGGGGAAAACAATTCGGTTTAGTTTGTTTACCAGATGTTTTTTATGTTTTTGGTGATAGAGATGTCGTTGTTTTCAGAAATGGAGTGATTGTTTAGCAACAGATCCTTACCAAAAATTGCGTCAAAGCTGACAAGTGATGGTGTTATGTGGTGTTAGATCACATATAGAAAAATGCTTTTTAGAATGTCATCCTACGACAGCTAACACAGTCAACTATACAAGCATCAAATCCATACATGATACAACCTCTCTAAAGAGTAAAGAATAACATTACTTTGCTGTTTCCATCCATCCCTTGATAGATAGATATATAGATCTCTTTATCTATATATATATATATATATTTGTATATTTGTATATATATATATATATATAGAGCAACACATAGTGTATCATAAAAATGTATGGTCAGAGGACTGAGGCACTATATAGGCAAGACAAACATATGCATGAGTTGATTACAAAAACTAAAAGTGTGCGTGCCGAGAGACGGTGACCGACGATGGGACTAACGGATGGTATGTGGTGGCAGTCGGCACTGGGTGGTCGCCGGTGTGAGGTTGTATGGTGGCGGGGGCTGACGAGTGTGAGTGTGTATGTTTTTCTGTAAAATAAGTGTGTGTTGTGTGTGAGAGAGAGGGAAGGGGTAGGTGATAAAGTGAGTGTGTTGTGTGA